CCCTAGCGCCGCCGGCCCGCAGCGGGTGAAGCGCCGCCCGCGCGCAGAGGGCCGAGCCGGGCGCCGCCGCTCCGAGCTCGCATTCGGATCCGCTAGCGCAGGAAGATGGCGACGGACGGCGCGAGCTGCGAGCCCGATTTCTCCCGCGCCCCGGAGGACGCGGGGGCCACGACGGAGGCGGCGGTAACCGAGCCCCCCGGGCGGGCGCGGGGCGGGTGGAGACGTGGGCTGGTGGCGGCTCCGCACCCCGGACCCCTGCGGGCGCCCCTTCTTCCCCGCGCCGAGGCCGCCCGGGCTGGGGGCGCGTCCGGCCGTGGGGTCGGGGGCGCTCCTGGCGTGCGCCCCGCCCGCTCGGCACCCCCGGCGCCCTCTCCTCGGCGCTCGGCTTTGGCCGGCCTTGAGGGCTGAGGGGGTGTTTCCTGCGAACTTGACCCCCCATTGTTCCTTTCAGGCTGCGCGCGTGTCTGCGAGGGTGCGTCTCGGGGTGTCTGGCACCTCTCCGCGGACCCGGGAAACGGGATGGGGGAGCACAGCTAAGCAGGTGTGAGGATGCCTATTGTGTGTCCCTGAACGTTTGGGGGTCCCTGGGGAGGGACCGGTGCCCTGCTGAACGCGATGCTGCCGTGGATCAGTGGTGACGCGGGTCCTGACTGCCTCTCGCTGGAGGTAGGGGGTCCCCAGGTTCTTCCGAGGTGATGCCCAGGCGAGGTGGGGGGATCATTACCTGAAATCAACATACTGTTCCCCACTGGCCTCCAGACCTCTGATGCGCCGCCATCAGATGCCCATCGCTGGTCCCCACTTTCAATTCCTGAGTGTTTTGGTGCACAGAGACCCTCCCTCTGGTGGGGTCCAGTCCCTACCTGGGGAGAGGGTCTGTCCCCTGTCCTGGTGGATAATGTGTTCAGGGTTTGAGAAGCAGCTTTCCGGAGGGAGCCCTGAGGAGCCGCAAAGAAAAGGCGGCTTCGGGGGCGCCTCCCACCCTGGGCTCCCCCAGGGAAAACGGGTGGGATGGAGCGAGCAAAGGGTGGACGCCCCCTCGGTCCCTGCTGCGACCCTCACGATCTGGTGCCAGCGCGGAGGGCAGGGCTTGGCGTCAACAGCCGGGCTCCTCTTAACTTCCTCCTCCTCCTCCTCCTCCTGCCGGGTTTTGGAGGTAGGGCTTTCTGGGGAGGGAGAGGTGTGGAGGAAGGGATTTGGGGTGAGGGGAGCTGAGGATGGGAAGGAAAAGAGAGAGGGGGCGCTAGGCGGAGGCAGAGGGCTGCTGATTTCCACTTGTGAAACTGACAGGTTTTGATTTGTAACTTTTAGGAAAATTGCGTAACCCCCCCCCCCCCCTTGCGTGTATGGATATGAGAACTTTCTTAAGATCCTAAATGAAACCTGCCAACTTGCTTGCGGTGGGTCAGTATCCCAGTGAGGGATGGAAGCCAGCTTCCTGGGAAGGCCAGCCTCCCGGGGAGTGGAGATGATTGGGTGCCTTCATCCCCAAGAACAGATGATGGGAGGGACCGACTGGGAGTAGAGGAGAATGGAGAGGGGGTGTGTGTGTGTGTGTGTGTGTGTGTCCCTAGGAGGGTTGTTGTATTTGTATACTTAATCTAAACTGTATGGACCTGTGTGTGTGTGCGTGCGCGCTCGCACTTGCATGTGTGTGTGTGTCCCTAAGAAGGTTGTCGTATTTGTGTACTTAATCTAAACTGTATGGACTTTCGTGTGTGTGTGTGTGTGTGTGTGTGTGTGTGTGTGTGTGTGT